TTGAGGGCCACGTTTGGGCCTAAGGTTCTTCAACCCTAAAACAGATTTTTCCAGTGCTATTTTTCTAGAAAAAGAGGTGCCAGAACTCCCCATGAACACCTCTCTTGTTCTGTTATAATGGCAATTGGGCCCACCTGAGAGGTGCTGGAACTGAGTTCTGGCGAGTTCCAGCTGAAAAAAGGCCCTGGGTTTTTGCATGAAGTTTCCTTCATTGAAGATACTTGGGTTGTGCATGCTAGTCAACTGGACTTTGGAACTGACTTTGGAACCTTAGCTATTCAGTAAGGTCCCACTCCCTATTGGTGCATTTCTTAATAGGCCAAGAAGAAGGGAAGAGATATCATGCGGGGAGCATCTTTGTCATTTCAGAGTGGGGAAAACGGACAATGTCCTATCTGATTGAAGAACAACAAAGACTGTTGTATGACAACGGTTGCAGGAACATTACTTGAAATCACCCCATTTGTTTTCTACAACACACCCACTAAAAAAATGACATGATTTTTTTCATTCTTTCCCTACTGGTTTCTACTAATGGGAGTTGAAAGTTTCATTATGTTATGCAGGCTATTACTCTGCTTTGCAAATGTGTCTGCACATTATTAATGTAGTGCTCAAATTTGTCAGATGACTGAAAATTTCATTTCCTCTTCCCTAAACACCTTAATTTGTTGTTCAATTATCATATTTCCCCAGGTGTCATCATCTTGGGGAGTGCTGGAGACACAGAGGGACAACTTTATTTACCACAACAAAACAAAAAAGATTAAAAACTGCATTTAATCACCTGGAGAATGTCAGTGTTCATCAAACTAATGATAATTACTCATGTTTGTTGGGGAGGGGGTGATGCCATTTTTCAGCTTCCATCTTTCATGAATAACAGGTTGATTGTATATTAAGAGTTTTGTCAAATCCCAACTGATGTATCTTTCTCTATTTGGGGGGCGGGAGACACACCATGAAAATCAACTATAGCCTGCAGGGGGTTGTCAGTTTGTGCAGAGGAATTATGGGGTAGGAGCAGTGACTTAACCCTCACCCCTTTTCTCTGCCCAAGATAATCATCTATGCTACTTTTTTTCATCATGGGAAAAGCTGTAACCAGCTTGCCTTCTCCCCAGGAGGTGGAAAAGCAGATGGGGAGGTAATTTTCAGCAGAAAATGATTGAAGGGCAAAAGGTTAAGTATTGCCCCTCCTCATTGCTCGTAGATGTTGCATTTTTGCATATCACTTAGAGATTTTTTAAATCTCTAAGAAACCCTTATAAATAAATGAATGAAACCTAAACTTCTAAACCTAAACTACAAAACCATTTTACAAGAGAAACTTCTGTGGAACTTACTTTGTTTCCTGATGTTTACACATTTTTCCTTTAAGGGTCTCATGGTAGCGTACATTGTGTGTCTCTCCCCCCCCCCACACACACACCCATTTTTAAGCTCACAACAATCATGTGAGGTAGACAGGCTGGAAGATGCTTCCTTGCCTAAGGAACCTGGTGAAATCTAAGGCTGGGCATTCAAACTCAGGTCTCCGCATCCTCTACGCAGCACAATATTCAAGACCTTCCCAACTTTTTCCTCTGCTGGTCCTGAATTAACATAGGATAAATGGCATGGGGTAAATGAGTGGCTTCATGCAAGGAATTTAAGTTCCTCCAGTGTGTGGAAAGGTGACCTGCAAATATTTGAAGAGAAAGGACAAACTTTTGTGTGTGTGTGTGCGTGCACTGAATCATTCTGGTAGCAAGAAGAACGAGGCACTCAAAGCCAGGAAAGAGCACCATTTAAACTAATCTTTGCAGCCCAAATCTAATCTTGTAGGATTGTACTCTGTGCCGTACCCAGAACCTCTCTGAGCTGAATTTCAATTTACAGAATAGATGTTCATAAAATGTCGTAGAATGAGTTGGTTGGAACGGAAAGGTCATCTAGACAAGGACCATTTCTCCAACAGACAACTTCCCCTCTGCTTTCCAAGGAGAGGCCGCACTGAGCAGCTTGCCAGCTACTATTGGGATCTATCTTGGACCACAGCCAGATGTGTGTGTGTGTGAGAGAGAGAGAGAGAGAGAGAGAGAGAGAGAGAGAGAGAGGTAGAAGAGGGGTAGAAAACTGCAGCTGAAAATCAGTTTGCAGTGTAATTTATTAGTGAGCCATTGGGTAGGCTGGAATACTGTCTCTGTGAATACTTCTGCCTCTGTGAATTAAAAAAGGGAAGATATTCACATTTTTAAAATGAAAACTCAATCAGGGAATGGACTTTGTGGGGCTAGACCTCATGAACTCCTCCATAGCGATCTTCCTGGACCCTAGGAGGACATTTATATTTGCAAGAAAGTGCACAGGAGGCATGACCGAGGTCAGGCAGAAGAACTCAAGGATTGAGGAGGTCAGGGTTGATGAGGAGTGTGGTCTAGGGAGAGGGAAGTGCCAGAGGATAGCTACTGAGGGCTACTCCTGGACCTGAGGCTCCCAACACTTGGCCTAACTATACTGTTCCCTCATGGCTAGATTCATCACCAGAATATCAGCAGGAATGAGATTATGAAATGGAAAGGTCACTTTCAGCCTGTTAATGTTCTCAACCAACACTATCACTTAATGCAGCCCTTTTTTAAATACGTATGTAAGATAACTGTGACAAGCTGATTAACAACCTGGGGGGGGTTCTGTTTTGCCAGATCCCCTCCCCTATCCCAGCTCCATTAAGGCAACTAGGAATGCTGTCAGATAAAAATAACAATTTGCATAACACCATCAGCAAGCATATGGCTTGTCAACAAGACATTTCTTTTTGAAGTTGAAAGAGGCATGCTGGTTTATAGCATCAGTTTTTACATAGGATTTTTTTTAAATCCAATTATTAGGATGAACTTGGGTGCACTCCTTGACACCAGTGATGGTGATCGTCAAACCCAGAGCCAAACCTGGCCCTCCACGCATCCCTGTCTTGGCCCTCAGGAATTTTTGCAAACCACACCCTCTTTCCCTAGGCCACACCCTTCGGTGGCACTGCTCTATGCCCTTCTCAAGTGCCTTGAATTGTGATACTGACTCTTGCTTGCTTGCCAGGATGGAGAATGGAGAGATGTGCTTGTAGGAGCCCCTGCTTTTTGTAGGTATGAGTTCCATCTATTAATTATCCATTTATTGCCTCTGGCCCTGCCTCTTACAGACCTGTGATCCCCAGAACATTGACCCTCATGTTGAAAAAGGTTCCTTGTCCCTGTTTTACCCTCTTTGAGTAAACTGCATAAGTATATTTCTACAGAGTGTTGAAAAGGGGAGATAGGCTGCACTAGATACTCCAATTAATGCCTGACAAACAAGCAGCAAATTGATAAGGACACCAAATACCTGCAGGGACAAATAAGGACCAATCCTGCTTCCATTAAAACAATGTTTTCATTTCCCTATCCTCCAACTCCTAATTACATAATCAATTTCACAAATTAAAGTGTATCTGAACAAGTAGTGCAGTGGAATTCTGAAATCATTAATTGTACACTTGCTTCTGATGTGCAGTAGCTGAATGCAATGTGAAATTAACATGGTCTTATTTCTTAAAATGTCATGTTACCAAACAGCTGCCTTCAGTACTAAGAAAATAGGTTGCTTCCCCTGTGCACTGAACTTGAAAGAATCTAATGTAGAATCCCAGCAACCCCCCGCCCCCCAAAAAATGGATTCTTTCATAATCCAGAGGCAGAGAAATGGTCATGACTCATACCATGGAAAAGGTCCTAACATCAATCCCTGGCATCTCCAGGTAGGGCTGGGAATCTTCTCTGTCTGAAAACCCAGAGAGCCACCTGCCAGTCAGTGTAGAAAATACTGAGCTAGATGGACCAATGCTCTGATTCAATATAAAGCAACTTCCTATGTTCCTAGGAGGATAAGACTCTATCTCTAGCTTTGGGACCAGGACTGCAGAACCATGTCCAGAAATGGGAGCTGTCCAAGGTCCTGAAATTACTCTGTGCATTGCATTCCAGGCTTGGCCCCTTTGAAGAGCCACTGCTGGCTTCCTCTGTGAACCTTGAGCTCTAGCCCTCTATGATTCTATGACTTAAATGCACACTCAACATTTTGTCATACTTCTAATAAGATGGGTTTGCAGTGTGGCAGCCTTCCTGAGAGTATAAAAACCCAGCTGGAGCCAAACCCAGCATCCTATTTCCTGCAATGACCTTGCTTACCAGCTATGTGTGAAAACTTCACATTTATTTTAAGAGATATTTCTGCCTTTCCAAACTCTGTCATCATATGTTCAGGTCACTTATCAGCATGCAAACATGTGGTTCTCTTCACTGAATAAATATTTGAGATTTTCAATTGTTACTTCATTTCAGTACGTTTCTGAGCACAATTCAAAGTATTGGTGCTGACTTTTAAAGCCCTAAATGTCCTCAGCCCAGTATACCTGAAGGAGCATCTCTACCCCCATTGTTCAGCACAGACACTGAGGTGCAGCTCCGAGGGCCTTCTGACAGTTCCCTCACTGCAAAGCTACAGAGAACCAGGCAGAGGGCCTTCTCAGTAGTGGCGCCCACCCTGTAGAACACCCTCCCATCAGATGTCAAGGAAATAAACAACTATATGATTTTAGAAGATATCTGAAGGCTGGATTACTGCAATGTACTCTATGTGGAGCTTCCTAATGCTTGATCTGGAACCTGTAGTTAGTGCAGAATGCTGCAACATGATTGCTGACAGGAGTGAGGCCACATCAGCATATATTATTATTATTATTATTATTATTATTATTATTATTATTTCAACATATAACACTGGTGCTCAGAGACTGGTTGCCAACTTGCTAATGGACCAGGTTCAAGGTGTATTAAGACATAAAGCCTACAAGATCACCTTACCCCACATGTGCCCACTTGACCACTTCAATCAGCAGAATTGGCACTAGAATGATAGAATTGTAGGGTTGGTATGGACCACAAGGGTCATCTAGTCCAAACCCCAGCAATGCAGGAATCTTTTGCCCAATGTGTGGCTCAAACCCATGACCCTGAGATTAAGACTCCCACGCTCTACTGACTGAACTATTTCTGGTACTACAGGTGCCACATAATGCCCATTCCACATTTGTAAGAACTCTGTCATTTAATATTGCAGCATCTCCACTTTGGAACTCCCTGCCTATTGCTGTTAGGCAAGCACCTTCACTCTACTCTTTTCGGTGCCTGCTAAAAGCATTCTTGTTTAAACAAGCCTACATAGATGCTTAGAAAGTTGTGGCAATTTTAAATCTGTTCCAGTATTTTAACAATTGTGTGTTTTAAAGGTAAAGGGACCCCAGACCGTTAGGTCCAGTCGTGGACGACTCTGGGGTTGCGGCGCTCATCTTGCTTTACTGGCCAAGGCTGGCATTTGTCTGCAGACAGCTTCTAGGTCATGTGGCCAGCATGACTAAGCCGCTTCTGGCAAACCAGAGCAGCTCACGGAAACATCATTTACCTTCCCACTGGAGCAGTACCTAATTTATCTACTTGCATTGTGTGCTTTCGAACTGCTAGGTTGGCAGGAGCTGGGACCGAACAACGGGAGCTCACCCTGTCGCAGGGATTCGAACCGCCGACTTTCTGATCAGCAAGCCCTAGGCTCTGTGGTTTAACCCACAGCACTACCCGCATTTTAAGGTAGGCTTGTACATTTTTCTTGATTTTGTTGTTTCACCTTTCCGAAGGCTGTTTTGTGGTTGTTGTTTTTTACAGTCAAGTAGTGTATAGATTTTATGAAACAAACAAATGAATGAATGAATCCTTGTGATGCTGGGAATTGAACCTGGGACCTTCTGCATGCCAAACGGGTGTTCTGTCTGAGCTATGGCCTTTCCCCAGTTGCTGGGGGAGAAATAGGGGACAGCCTTCCCCTCCAAGCCATGCTTGCATGTTTATTAGAAACATGTTGTTGACTACTATTGAGAACAATATAGAGGATTAGATGGGTCATTGTTCCAAGCTAGCAGAACTTCTTTGTTTCAATGAAGGCAAAAGTCTTTCCCCATTGTTTCAGGGTCTGTCTCTCCTACCCCATACTCTGCTCATTTGTCATTCAGAAGCATACAGACTCTGTTTTTGAATGTGCACCGTTCAAGTAAAAGGGTCAAAGGAACTTCATAGGTTCTGCTTCTGCGGCACATTACGTGCAGGAGAGAAGAGTTGCATCGAAACTTTTAGCTTTAAAGCCCCATAAAGTTTTAAACGGCTTTGCTGTGCCTTTCAGTAAATCAACATAATCACCTTTAAAGCCATGCATTGTCCCCATGTAGTGCTTTACTACACAAACCCAGAGAACACTCTGAGCATCTAAAATGCGTATAAACTTTATATAGAATGGGAGAGTAAAGGCAGGGAGAAGGGAGAGGGAGAAACAGAGTGTTCAAATCAAAGCTGCATGCCCGAGTCTAAGAGGGCTGGAAATCACCATGGCTACAATGGCTCTGCATAGGAGAAGATACAGTGAGGGGAACCTGAAACAAAGTGGCATGGAGTGGAGTGCTCCTGCTCAGGGCTCTGGCCAGCCATACCCTCATTTGAGATACTCCATTCCAATTTCCATTCCCCAGCCTCGCATCACTTCCGCAGCCACTGAGCATGTTCCATCCTCTTTGGGTTGTCTTTTCCCTTTCTTTCTCTAACAAAGCAACAATTTCCCAGAGTTCCCTGGGAAAAGAGGTTGTTAAACCACTCTGAGAATTATTCCTTTCTAAGGAACACTCTCAGCATCCTTAACAAACTACAGCTCCCAAGATTCTTTGGTGGGATATGTAACTGTTTAAAGTGGTATGATACTGTATAGTACAGATGAGGTCTAAGTCATAGCCATGGATCTAAGTTAGTCGTATTACTTAGCTTCATTTGGTCTACTCTGAGTAAGATTAACATTGGATACAACTCAGGGAGTCTTATGGGCAAGCTGCCTCTACAAGAATTTGCAGCATTTACAAATCTCTGCTATGAAGCTCACCATTTCTAAGCTTAACCTACCTCACAGAGTTGGTGTGAGGAGGAAATGTACTACTGCACACTTGCAGGTTACAAATAAATAGAAGATTGTTGACAATATAACCAAAACTGCATGAGAGGTAGAGTTGGGATGAAAGAATTTGCAGATCTTCCTTTTGGTCAGTAGCACATAGCTGTTACCTCACCTGCCGGAATTCTTTTTAAGACTGAATCCCTTTTGTTTGGAGTCTTGAGGCCAGCTCTGTAGTCTCTGATGAATGCAGAAGAGATCAGAACGAGATGTCCAGATCAGAACGAGATGTCCAACTGATTCCCCTTCTCACTGGTAAGTGACAACAGAGCCACCACCTTCCTAATCTATCTTTTTCAATTGTTTGGTGATTCAAGATGAGGAGGATGCTGTTTTCTCAGTGCAATCAGACTACCTCTGTGCCAAGGGGGTTGACGTGCCCACCAACACTTTCCTTGGAAGAAATCAGCGAATATGGCCACTGTTTTGTTTCATTTCATTTTGTTGGGCTCCCAATTCTTCAGTGTCACTTTCCAATCCTTAATCATTAGATCTGGAGAGGGACAAAAAGAAACCTGATGCAAACCAGGATAAGAGGCATAAAGAGGCAGATGAAGGAAGTCTGCCATGAAGGTCACTGGGTGACCTTGGAGAAATGCATCAGAATCAAAACAGACATTACTTTATTTTTTTTTTAAATGATATTTATTAAAGTTTCACTAAAATACAGAAAACAAAGAAAAAAGTGTAAATTACAACAAAAAAGCAAAAAGTAAGAAAAAACATACAAAATAAAACAGTTAAAAACACAATAATGTTCCATAACCTATCTTCCTTACTCTTATTTCCCCAGACCTCCTCATACCTCCCTTCTTTGTATTCCAATTCAGTTTGTTGGTTCAGCAAATCCTTACCATTAATCTTTTACCCAATTGTTAACCTTTTTTTCCCATGTCTCTTAAAGCATTACAGCTAAAATCCTCTTAATTTCTATCCAGCATCCTTCTAAAGTTCCTTAATTTTGCAATATTTCTGTAAATAGTCCTTAAATTTTTTCCAGTCTTCTTTCACCGACTCTTCTCCCTGGTCTCGGATTCTGCCAGTCATTTCCGCCAATTCCATGTAGTCAATCACCTTCATCTGCCATTCTTCCAAAGTGGGTAGATCTTGTGTCTTCCAATACTTTGCGATAAGTATTCTTGCTGCTGTTGTAGCATACATGAAAAAGGTTCTGTCCTTCTTTGGCACCAGTTGGCCGACAATGCCCAAGAGAAAGGCCTCTGGTTTCTTCAGAAAGGTATATTTAAATACCTTTTTCAGTTCATTATATATCATTTCCCAGAAAGCCTTAATCTTTGGGCACGTCCACCAAAGGTGAAAGAATGTACCTTCAGTTTCTTTACATTTCCAACATTTATTATCGGGCAAATGATAAATTTTTGCAAGCTTGACTGGGGTCATGTACCACCTGTATATCATTTTCATAATATTTTCTCTTAAGGCATTACATGCCGTAAACTTCATACCTGTGGTCCATAACTGTTCCCAGTCAGCGAACATAATATTATGTCCAACATCTTGTGCCCATTTAATCATAGCAGATTTCACCGTTTCATCCTGAGTATTCCATTTCAACAGCAAGTTATACATTCTTGACAAATTTTTAGTTTTGGGTTCTAACAATTCTGTTTCTAATTTTGACTTTTCCACTTGGAAGCCTATTTTCTCAAAACAGACATTACTTTAATTGTATAGCTAGCAGCTACTTCTCCATTTGTGTGTGTGCAATTTGATATCCAGAAAACAGGCCCTCCTTGTATTTACTGGAAGCACAGCATGTGCATGTGTGTGTGTGTGTGTGTGTTTAACCTTTACCTTCTCAGTCATGAAGCCAATGACCAGCCCCCCACCCAGGCGCCCTAATTAGAGAAAATGTCAAAGACTATTGGCAGCATACAGAGAGGGCATTTTCATTAGGATCACAGCTAGAGAGGGGAGGGATAAACCACCCCTCCCCATTCACTATGCGCCAATGACAAATTGTGACCTTCTGCACCAGGGGTTTTTTTTTGGGGGGGGGAATTCCCAGAAGTATTTACAAGTTAAATGTTGTCTGTTTCCCCACCCCAATCCATTCTCCAAATTATGTTGATTCTGATGATTAAGAGCACAAGAATAGCTTGCTGGATCAGGCAAAATGGCCCATCTAGTCCAGCATCCTACTGACTGTGGGCAGGATTGCTGCATTGCAGGGGGTTCCACCTCTACAATTCTATGAGTCTGTGATTCTCACAGTGGTCAACTAGATGCCTGTGGGAAACCTGCACAAGAGCACTCTTCCCCGACTGTGGTTTCCACCAACTGGTATTCAGAAGCATCACTGCAACAGTGGAAGGCGAGCATAGACATCATGGCTCATAGCTACTGATATCCTTCAGGAATTTGTCTAATCCTCTTTCAAAGCCATTCAAGTTGGTGGCCACCACTGCCTCCTATGGGAGGCAAAGAACCAAAGGCAACTTCCTTTCAAAATGGAAATTTGCAACCAAATGCCTTTGTCACCTGATCTAAGGTTAAAACTCTCACATGTTAGCTGCTAGAGAATGATAATCAGTTAATTATCAACCAGTTAAGGCTCGGAGAGAGCTCTTCTTGGTGTTCTTGAGCTACAGTGGAATTTCCCCATCTTAAACCTTCAGAAATACACATTTAGCTATTCCCATTTCAGTGTGAATTAAACCAATTATACTTAACACCCCCACCTTTGTGATTCCCAGAAACTGGCATTCAGACAGTGGAGTACCTTAGCAGCCATTGATCACCTCAGCATTTCAGATCAGTTCCCTCTTGTGCATCACAGGGGGACAGGTGGTGATTCCTGAAGCAGACACCTGGGTCGGGCTGTGGTTTTTTTTGTCTGACCTTCTCCCATCTCCATTTCTTTCAGATGCAAGCAGGCAAGAAGCTGAATAGAAACACTTTTATTTGCATTCCAGAGTAACCTCGTCTTTTACCAATTTGTCATTTTGCTGATAGGTCTCTCATACACGGAGGTATTTAGAAGATTCCTTATTG